CTACAATTAATAATTGTCTCAGTAAATGCCCAAACCCTACAGAACTGGTGCCTTCAGAGAGCCACTAACATTACATATTTGGCGTCCCTGAACCGGTTTTCCCTACATTATTTGGCGTCCCTGGGTCGGTTTAATCTACAATGCATAATTAAAATATTTATGATGAAGGTGTAAGGTTGTGTACTTTTGTCTAACTGATCAATCTTGCTTTTATAAAATGTACCGCCTTTTTAATGTTTAATGATTAACATGCTGTAATACACAGTTTAAAATTATTAAAAGTCTAAAGAGTATACAACTTAGATTGTCCCTCAGCAGTGACCGGGATTCAAAACTGGACATTTTCTGGTGATGGATCAAATGCTGTACAAGAGATGTTAAGCTTTATTAGCTCCACCTGGCAGTTTTACAAGGTGTCTCCGGATACTGTTATCATATTTCAATTTGCAAGCAGCATAATGAGGTATCATGCGCCACACCCACCACGTTTTGACTCCCAAGTGTTTTGAATGGCTGGATCTGTACTGGATGTGTCCACTTGGTCAGCTTTTAAGGTAATATGGCCTCAACTATCATTTCTATGCTGATGAGACACAAATATACAACCATACCTAACCTGACACTGATGTGGCTTTCTCTATTCTATCAAATTGTATCTTGGACATAAAAACCTATGTAACTCAAAATTTCCTTCATATTACCTGTGACAAGACTGAAGTCATGCTTATTGGCACCCCCATCAACTTTGTAAAACCAATGCTGTAAACCTATCTGTAGATGGTTCTGTACTTGAGCTGCAGTCTAAATTGAAAAACTTGGGCATGATATTTGACTCAGGCTTGACATTTGACCCACATGTGCAACACATTTACAGAACATCTTTCTTTCCCATACTATACAGCCACCTTTGAAGATGCTATATAAAATTAAGCTTATTGTTATTATGATAAAGATCTTGTCCTTTTGTCCTGTGTTTTCAGGCTCAGAGGCCAGTGTTCTCTGTGAAGCTAGGGAAAGGGCTCCTCTTGAACAGCAGCACAGTGAGGAGGAGTGGGGCTCCAGTCTGATGCAGGAGACAAAGCTCACTGCTGCAGAAGGGAAAGAGAAACTCAGTGAGAAGTACACAGAGAGCAGACAGAGTGTCGAGGATCTGCACAGCATGAAGATAGAACCTGAGAGTGAGACACTTGGGTTCTTAATATTTACAGAGAAGATTAATCATCTGGATACGAAGAATATTGCAGAACATTGTGATGAACTTGACTGCGTCTCTGTACAAGAACTCGAAGAACTGAGTGAGTTTAATCTTACAGAGCAGGACATGGAGCCCCAGTTGATTGACCCTGCAGAGCAGGGGAAGGAGCCCCAGGTGATTCACACTGCTGAGCAGCACACTGAGGGGCATAATGGAGAAAACAAATATCAGTTTCAGCACACAGAGCAAGACCATTCCATGGAGCATTTGCAAAATAAGAGACGCCAGCACAATCAGAGGATGAGAAAGAATCACTCAAGGCCTTCCTCAGATGGAGTGGACAAAGAGGAGCAGCATTTCTGTCAGTCTAGCATTTCAAAAACCTTTTGCACAGGAGAGAAACCTTTCAGCTGCAGTCAGTGTGGGAAGAGTTGTAAAGACTCAAGTGCTTTAAGAGCCCACCAGCGCATTCACACAGGAGAGAGTACATTCAGCTGCAGTGAGTGTAGCAGATGTTTTAGTCAGTCAAGTCACTTAAAAAGACACCAGCGCATTCACACGGGAGATAGACCATTCAGCTGCTGTCACTGTGGGAAAAGTTTTAGAGACTTAAGTGCCTTAAGAGCCCACCAGCGCATTCACACAGGAGAGAGACCATTCAGCTGCAGTGAGTGTGGTAGGAGTTTTAGTCAGTCAAGTCACTTAAAAAGACACCAGCACATTCACACAGGAGAGACACCATTCAGGTGCAGTCAGTGTGGGAAGAGTTTTATAGACTCAAGTGCTTTAATAGCCCACCAGCACATTCACACAGGAGAGAAACCATTCAGCTGCAGTAAGTGTGGGAAGAGTTTTATTAAGTCAAGTAACTTAATAGTCCACCAACGCATTCACACAGGAGAGAGACCGTTCAGCTGTAGTCTGTGTGAGAAGAGTTTTAGTCATTCAAGTACCTTAAGAGCCCACCAGCGCATTCACACAGGAGAGAGACCATTCAGCTGCAGCCAGTGTGGGAAGGATTTTATTCGGTTTAGCCACTTACAAACACACCAGCACATTCACACAGGAGAGAGACCATTTAGCTGCAGTCAGTGTGGGAAGAGTTTTAGTGATTCAAGTACCTTAAGAGCCCACCAACACATTCACACAGGAAAGAGACCGTTCAGCTGCAGTCAGTGTGGGAAGAGTTTTATTAAATCCAGTAACTTAAGAGCCCACCAGCGCATTCACACAGGAGAGAAACCATTCAGCTGTAGTCAGTGTGGGAAGAGTTTTAGTGAATCACATGACTTAAAAAAACACCAGCGTATTCACACAGGAGAGAGGCCGTTCAGCTGCAGTCAGTGTGGGAAATGTTTTCGTCTATCAAGTAACTTAAGAGCCCATCAGCGCATTCACACAGGAGAGAGACCATTCAGCTGCAGTCAATGTGGGAAGAGTTTTAGTCGGATAAGCCACTTACAAACACACCAGCGCATTCACACAGGCGAGAGACCATTTTGTTGCAGTCAGTGTGGGAAGAGCTTTAGTGACTCAAGTGTCTTAAGAGCCCACCAGCGTATTCACACAGGAGAGAGACCGTTCAGCTGCAGTCAGTGTGGGAAGAGTTTTAGTCGGATAAACCACTTACAAACACACCAGCGCATTCACACAGGAGAGAGACCATTTTGTTGCAGTCAGCCTGGGGAAGAGTTTTAGTGACTGAATCACCTTAAGACATCACCAGCACATAAGATAAGATCACTTTATTGGCCATATACAGTTTTTTATATCAGGAATTTGTCTCTCACAACGTGCTCACCACGAGGCCCACAACTAGGGAGATGCTGGGGGTTAGACCGCAGGACCATCCTTTGTCCAGCACCCCTGGAGCACTTGAGGTTAAGGGTCCAACAGAGTAGGATTCCTCCTGGTGTTAGGAGGCATTTCCTTTTGCAGCTGCTACTGTTTTGGTTTCGGCTTTTATTTTTATTCCTTCCAGAGGAGCCCATGGAAGTGTGTTTTCATCTGTGCCATCCTCACTCCTCCTCTGCTATCATCACTGCTTCTTCTTGTGCACTACAAACACCTAGGGAGTTGTTTCCTCCTGATTTTTTTAATAAGGTTTTCAAAGGCTGGAAGGGCACAAGACACGTGGACACAAAATGCATTGTCAGCAGCCATATCACCCTGCAACTCACACCTGGCAACCCACTGAAGCAAGCAGGTGTGAGCCTGATCAGTACCTGGATGAGAGACCTCCTGGAAAAAACTAAGGTTGCTGCTGGAAGAGGTGTTAGTGGGGCCAGCAAGGGGCACTCACCCTGCGGTCCATGTGGGTCCTAATGCCCCAGTATAGTGATGGGGACACTATACTGTAAACAGGCGCCGTCCTTCGGAAGAGATGTAAAACTGAGGTCCTGACTCTCTGTGGTCATTAAAAAAAATCCCAGGGCGTTTCTTGAAAAGAGTAGGGGTGTAACCGTCCTGGCCAAATTTCCCATTGGCCCTTATCAATCATGGCCTCCTAATAATACCCGTCTATGAATTGGCTTCATTACTCTGCTCTCCTCCCCACTAATAGGTGATGTGTGGTGAGCGTTCTGGTGCATTATGGCTGCTGTCGCATCATCCAGGTGGATGCTGCACATTGGTGGTGGTGGAGGGGAGTCCCTATTACCTGTAAAGCACTTTGAGTGGAGTGTCCAGAAAAGTGCTCTATAAGTGTAAGCAATTATTATTATTATTGTTATTTGTTTCTAGCTGCTCAATGTAGTTCGTAGGCACTGAAGAATTGATTTCCAAGGTAGCGGGTCCAAGTGATTTAGCATTTTAAAAGTATAATGAAAAGAGAAAGGGTGCTTCTCCTTTTTTGTGCATACAACCCCATGAGGAGGTTGCCGTAGTCGGCAGAATTTAAACCTTCATAGGGAGACCCCAAAGGATTTCAAGTTTATCACTTTAACCATTTGACCACATCTACAGTAAGTGCTGTTGCTGCAGCATTCTTGAAATTAAACATGTATAAGAGTTCAGAAGCTGCACAACACCGCAGTTTGAATATTATTTATAGTTATGGTAGAGGCAGGAATTGCCTTTGATTTTCACTCTTACGAATGTGCTGAAAAAAAATACAGTACTACAGTTTAATATACAGGTAATGCAAGTAAGTGTACCTTTCTTTTCTGTAACAAGTTGGTTTTCATCTTCAAGAAATGCATACAACTTCGGGAAAATAAAATACAAATCTTGCTTATAAGTTAGGAAGAAATACTGCTGGCTGCCAGCGATTTTTTTTTTCCTTGACAAAAAGGCTCAAATGTGAGGAATTTCATGGAACTAGAAAAAGGAATATAAGATATCACTTTATTAGCCATATACAATTTCCTACATTATGAATTTGTCTTTTCTACATACCCAAGCTTGCTCTCTATGAGACACATGGAAGCTTGGGGTCAGAGTGCAGGGTCAGCCATTGTATAGCACCCCTGGAGCAGTTGGGGATAAGGGCCTTGCTTAGGGGCCTAATGGGGGAGGATTCCTCCGCCAGCTGCAAGATTTGAACCAGCAACTTTCTAGCCACAGGTGCAGCTCCTTAGCCAAAGAGCCACCACTTTGCCCCAAGACCTGATTGCTCAAAACATCACCAATTCAAAGCATTAAGGCAGCATAAACAGAACTGTCATGATGGGTAATTTTAACACACTCCCTTGTGTTTTAGTTAGTCTAGTAATTTTGAGACACTCCCTGGAGTAAGCTAGTGTGAGATTGAAGATGGCTCATCTTTGAACGAATTGTGTAATGGCCGTTGAAGTAAAAGTGAAGTTAAACGCATTCATTGTGTTATGTTCAACTGTGTTTAAGATATATCTAAATGATAGTGTTCTAATTATATATTGTAGATCTGTGCAGCAATTTTACTGGATTTCTTTAAATCTATTCAGGTTTGCTTGAATCTATAATAGCAAAGTGATCTGAAACTTCCTACCTTCCAATCACTGATTTTGATGCCCGAATACCTTTGAAAGAGACATTTCAGAATCTCAGTCAAATCCAGTATGATTGCTGGATCACTCGAATTCAGCTGAACTATAGCAAAGATCTACAGTCCACGATTAGAATAGTGTTTATGCATTGTACAATACACAACCTAAAGATTTTCTAAAAGAGGAGATATAGGCTTCATTTCGAAATGAGATATACATAAGGTGAAATTATCTGGGAAGAGTCCTATGCTTGAACAGTTCAAAATAGATGTAAAGACGTATTTGCAGACGATTTTGAAATGTAAGTACATGAAAGCTTTACAGCTGTTGTTTTTAATTGCCTTGTTTAATCTTTTTTTCATAAAGTGTAATTATTATAGTTTGTGTCCCTGACTATGTTATATATACATTATATGTGCTCTTGTTTTTATTGTATCTAGTTTTGTTGTTCAAATAAAAAGTAAAAAAAGAGATTTCAGAATGTGTGCTGTTTTAAGAATAAAATGACGTCAAGGGCACTATACCAGATGTCAGAAGAACTATTCCCACAGGTGCTAAAGAAGTAACGATTTCACCATGAGAAAGGATGCATCTCGGGAAAAAGCAGGTGCAGTCGCTTCCACAGTCAAAACGCCACTAGGTCGGACAGCAAGTGCTAAAAACACCAGCTTTCTCGGAGCAAGTAATGTGACGAAGAGACACAGTACCGTAGGTAGTATGGCTGAGTGGTCTAAGGTGCTGGGTTAAGGTTATAGTCCCTTCTGGCTCATGGGTTTGTATCCCATCACTGACAATTTCTGGCTTTAGAGTTATGAAGTACATTTGTTCATCTCCTGGAAGAGTGAGAGCAACATTATTAAAGAAAGTTGACCTTAACATCAAGGCAGAAGGAGTTTTTTTGTCTTCTCAACAGAAATGCTGTTTAGCACCTTCAACTTTACGTAGGGAACAAATTTTGCCCAAATCGCTTTTGAGTCAATGAATATCATAGTGCTCCATCAATCAGCTTGCTGTGCTGGCGTGCTGCTTCTGTCTGTGAAACATTAATGTTCTGTTTCTTCGTTCCGAACCGTAGGCAGGGGTTGAGCTTGTTAAATCCTTGCGCATAGCACTCCTTCGGAAGTATTTTACTGTATGGTGAGGGCTGCGGGTTAGGCAGCAGCAGAACATGATCAGTATCAATTGACTGTCCAGGAATTTTGGGGCTGTACGGGGGTCAGATCTGTAGATGTAGTGAAGACATTAGTGGAGATGGTGTGTCTGCTCTCTGTGGTCTGGAAGGTGCTCCTCACAGGAGAGAATGAAATAAAAAATCTTTTCTCGGAACGCTGATTTTTTTTCTGACTGTTCTGTGTGACCTCGTGGCGCAGGGGTAGCACGTAGAGGGTAGCATGGCTGAACGGCCTAAGGCACTGGATTAAGGCTCTAGGATGTGTGGTTTGAATCTGATCCTTACCAGCTGTTTCTGTGTTAAAACTGCTTCTACTGATTTGGAATCCAATGGGTGTAAGTGTGTTTTGACAGTTTCTCAATAAACTGAGCAATGCGTTGCAAGTTACATTGCCAGCTTTAACATCAAGGCAGAAATAAAAGCTTTGTTTCATCTTCTCAACACAAACGCTGTTTGTCACTTTCAGCGTTATGCCGGGAAGGACGTCTACGGAGATGACTTTTGAGTCCGTGCAAATCAGTGTGCCCTAAATTTTAATGTAAGTTGTGCCACTTTTATCAGTGAAACATTAATGTTCTGCGTCTTCAAGTCAAGGCGATGAGGGTGTTGCTCAGTAGTACAGCACATGCTTCACATGTATGAGATTCTGGGTTCCATCCCTGGCAGCTCTAGGTTTTTTATATTACCGAACCTCTCTTGAGTGAGAACTGTTTGCTTGTGTTCATAGAGAGCCCAGTTTATACATTTAAATCCCAATGCTCTCGCAGTGCTACAATGTTCCTCTGCCGTTTTAAAGTTTCTTCTTGAGATAGTGCATAACGCCTCATGTTCCCCATTCTCCTTAATTCCAGAGCTCACTTTTCCATGTATCATACAATTGATAAAAAGTTTGGTGGTTCAACTGCTATCGACAGCAGGTCAACAGCAAGGTAACTGAAAAAAGTCATCAGCTCTCAGCTAACATGGTGTAATAGCAAGTTTACTTTAAACCAGTTAGTCATAGACTTAAGATCGGGTATTCTTAATCACATTAAATTAATAGTTATCGCTTTGTCGGATATTTGCCTGTGTCATGAATTAATAAAATGCATCAATACATGATTAATACTACAGTATTACAACAAAGAGGAAGTACATTTACTTTTCTGCCGATTAGAGACGTTTAGCTACTGTTTCATGGTGCTGGCTCACAGTTAATAGAAAAAAGTTCAAAATCCACAGTTTGCAAAAGTCACTCGCTTGTTAGCAGTTAAGCCAGAAGAGTGTTCAGAGCTGACCTTGGAGGAGGGGGAGCAATCTTATACTCGGGGGAAGAGGCTAAATAAAGGGAGGTGCTCCAGTGGCGCAGAGAACAACGAGACACAAAAGGGCTCAGGTTCGATTCCACGTGTCCACTTTAAGTACTTTTATTAAGCACAATCAAGCACAGTGTAAATATAATAAATGTAATATTATAACAGTAATATAATAAGTAGAATCAGTTAAAAGTGCAATAAAAATTAAATATAAAGAATGGCAGACAGTATATCAACCTATTGGCCAAATGAGTTTTAACATGCAAGGAAT